TTTAAAACAACATAATAGCATATAAGTCTGCTTAGACCATCTCCCACATATATGATGGGATCAAGAGAATAAACAAAGAAAGGATAATTTATAGAGTTGACTTTGTATTAATTTGTTAGTTCAAAATCATTGTTTTTTCTCCTTTCAATTATAGGTTAGACGAATACGTATGCGGATGGGACGCATTATTTTATGTTATGAGTAAATTTTTAAAATTTAAAGAAAGGATAAATTTATAAAAAGATGGAAATAAATTTAAATAATTTTTTAAATATATTATAATTTTAAATTTTCAAAAGACAAATACCCCACACATCCCTCGATCCATACATGTGTAATTGCAAATGAATTATGGATCAGTTGTTGTGCACTCGTGATATGTTGAATGGATTAGTATTGCATTTGAGTCAAAGCAAAATACTTAATACACGGCATATGCTTCACCATCTCTCTTCAATGCTTAAGCCGTTACAATAATCATCTTTGATTTTTGCTAGCTTTAGGCAATGTTGAGTACTTGGAAATTTTCTTTAGATTGAGAGTTTTGAAAGCAATAATAAGGAATATCTTATAATCAGCTGAAGATATCTCATCACCATTTTGGATAAACCTATAGCATATATTAAAGAGAAAATATTCATTAGTATCATAGATCAGTAGTTGTTAGGATATGACGTGTTTTACAGAAAGGAAATACAGGGAGAAAGGAAGAAAATATAAATATACTTGTTTAATGTAGTATTATAATATATTTTTTTGTTAGAATTTTATATGAAGTTTTATGAGTAATAAATTATTTATGAATCTTTACATATTATTTTATATTTCTGGTGTTTTTTTTATTTTATATTATATTTTAATTATCTTCATTGTCATATTTAATTTATTTGTTAGAATCCATTTATTCGGCTTTTAAAAGACTCAGCTCATACTCAGATTGAAACTCATTATGCTATTCACGCAGTCCAAAGGTGAAAGGTAAACCCAACTTAAACCAGACCTACCATGTAACATTCTTAATCTGATGACAAATCTCCGACGAGTTGATGAGTTTCACATTCAGTCATTGGAAACACCCAAAAATATCATATTGAAATATTTGTACGGCATTCAGAGCTCCTTTAATTATTAAACAAATATTGAAATAATTTACCAATTGACTCGATATCAAATATAACTCTTACATGCTCACCTAAATAGCCATTTTGTATTAAGGTATTCTCACTTAGACCCCATCGATGATGTTACTATTCTACGTGATTTAGCTTGTAACCCCTGCACACAAATAAGCTGAACTCTAAACTTACAAAGCTCAACGATAAACATACAATTTATCATATTTTATAGGTTTCAAACATAACATGTAAATCATATAAAGTATAAATATTGAGCTATATATCTATAATATATATCTTTTCCATATCTAGATATCAAAGCTCAACGTATTTTCTCAACTTTAAGGAGTATTATATGACACAACATTACCATTTTATAGATATCATACATATCAACATTCATCTAAATACAACTAGGAGTATCAATCACCTATTAATTCATGTCTCTATCACTTATCTTCATAATCATTTATTAACAATAGGTTATTAAGTTTTCACCTAGTATCGTATGATAATCAACTATAATACATTATCTCATCTAACATCAAATACTAGTATAATAATGATACATAATATCATACAACATCAAATATCATAAATATATATATACTTAATCACACGACATCAAGTATAGTAAATAATATATATATATTTGGCAGTACTAATTGTCAAGTATCAGATGACATTAGTATCAATACAAGACATTTATTTTTATTATAAAATTTTAATTATTTTATTAATTATTTGTAATTAAATTAAACTTTCTTTTATTTATTTAGGATAATTTATGATCTTATTTTTATGGTAAGATTTATTTTATTTTAATTTGTGTATTTAGTATTAATAAAAATGATACTAAAGTTTTCTCTTTAAGATTTTTAGAAGTTACAAATAGATATTCATCTTATGTAATTGAGATAGGAAGAAAAAGAGATGAGGAAAAGAAAGAGGGGGAGTCACCCTGAGAATTATAGTTTAAAATATACAAATAATAAAAAAGTGAAATTTTACTTAAAGGTAATTTTTTTCGTTATATTTTTAATTTTTATGGCTTTTGTTCTTGTCGTTTTGGTTGATTATGGCCTTGCTTTTGAAAAACCATCGAAGGAGAGAAAACGATGATCAAAGAACAAAAATTTTAGATAAATCTTCAAAAAGATCTAACCTTTCATAAGGTTTTTTTTGATGAAAATCGATGAGGATCTTGAATGAAAATAGATTTTTGATCCAAAACTTGGAAGATAGAAAAAATTGATATTTTTAAATTTTAGATTTTGTATTCAATTAAATGATTAAATGACTTGATCTAGATTTCTGAGATTCGTGTGTATTCATATGGGTAAAAAATAATACGTCTCTAGTATTTCTTTTAACCTTTTATCCTTATCTTTTTAATTTATTTGATTTTTTCTTAATTTGATTTTCTCTTTTAATTTTGGGTAAATTATAAGATTGGTCACTTTCGTTTAAATTTCATACATTTTCCTTCGTCAAATTCAAAAAAACATATTATTGACCACTTTCGTTTTTGTTTCATTAAGATGTGGTTATGCTCATTTATTTAATTAAAATGTGACCACTTACTTTATCGACTTTTAAATATTTAGTTACATAAATTTTGACTATATGTTAGTGAGGAAAAGTGAATAAATTGGATAAAAGTGGCCAAATGTTATGTTTTTTTAAATTCAATGAGAAAAAATGTACACAACTTAAACGAAAGTTGAATCTTATAGTTTACTCTTTAATTTGCTTTGATTTCTCATATATTTATTTGTTTTTTTCTTTATCTTTTTTTTATTTATTTCCTAATTAACTTCTTTTAATTTGTTAGATATTTTTGTTTTTTAATATGATTATTTTTTTATTTTTATTTATTTTCGTTATGTTTGATTTAATTTTAGTTTATTTTTAAAAAAAACTCTAATTATTTTTTCTTTTAATTAAACATTCTAAAAACATATTTTTATTTTAAATTATTTTTTTGCATGTTATTATCATTTTTTATTTATTAAACATTCCGTATTTATTTATTCTTTCATGTCATTTAAATTTCCCTTTTTATTTTAATTTCAAGATTAATTTACTTTCTTATGTATTTGATTTATTTTTTATTTTGGTACCGTGATCCACATATATAAACTTTGTGTGATGAATTTTTTATGTATCAAATCTTTTTCTTTCGTATCTAAATTAGACACAAATCATGGAAACATTGGACACAAACCATGGAATAATCATGGAAACAAATATATGATATCTAATATCAATTTATTTGAGCATAATCATACATTTTTAGTCTCAATCAAGTGGCCATAAGATATTTTTCTATTATGTGAGGGATAAATCGATCAATCATATCTCAAACTCACAATGTGGGATAATGATGATCATATTGTATACACAGTTATCACTATTAGTGATTGTGACTATTGCATCATAATTCAAAAATATATTCATAACCGGTCAATCCAATATATTTTTTCTAATACATACTCACTCATGTATTAATTTTGACCCAAAAGTTGTCAAATCAAATTTGAATGGATCGATTTTTAAATTCGGGTCAAAATTACAAGTCCAATTCAGTTCATCATCAAATGTTTCCCAAAGGCTATCAACACAAATGATAAGTATGAATATGTCATCATCCAATGTTCTGTGGGTTAAATGATCATGCATATGAACATCTAACCAGGCAGATAAATGGCCAACAAAAGCCAATTGCAGAATGCAACCGAATATGAAACAAAAGAAAATTTGATAACCAGCAAAGGCACATGCACGAATACCACCTGAAAACGCAGGTAAAGTTTCTGCAGGCCTAATTGATAAAAAGGTTACATTTTAGTTGCAGAATGCAAAGATGAGTTATTTAATTCCTAGAAATCTTAGAGATCTAATTTTAGAAAATGAAAGAGGTAGCGCTACATAATAATAGGTCACTTAATCAACATTATGACATAAAATGACATCTTGCTGTAAGAAAGACTTGACTTGAATAATCGGAAAGAGTGCAAATTAAGCAGGTGATTGTAGTTGCATGACCAAAGGATTCCTGCAAAAGCCCAAAACAATCATCATACTCTCGGCGGTGAGTTCAATGGTCGGAAACAATTACTGCATGTGATAGCAATGATCACTGCTGATGTTACAAGAAAATGCTAATGCATTGGAGTAAAAAAAAGCTAACATCAGAATCAGGAGCTACATATACTTATATCACTACCGAAGCATGTAATTACAGTGTCCGCTTCTCACTATAAATCCCTACTTAAACAAAGTATACGATAACACAACATCAAACTACAACTACTCTGAATTTCTTACCATAGACCATGATGAAAAGATGCAGTCCAAATAATCATCAAATTATGTTCACAATTGGAAATTATGAAACAGGAAAGTCAACTGTTCTTCACTTTGTTTTAATCTTACAACATAAAACAACATCATTCATATCGTCAAAGAATAACAAATGAGTTCACATTTCTAAGCTCAAACTATACTGTATCACTCCCAAAGCATGTTATGATATCCGCATTTAGCTATCAATCACTACTTCGAAATTACTTGAAAGTTAAAAGAATACACAACAGAACATCAAACTGCAACTATTGTAAAACACTTCCATAATCAAAATCAAATACACTATATAATCAGGATTTAAATTGCGGTCCGCTATCGGAATAAAGATAATTATATAACAGTAAAGGTGTCATCTGAAACTGTTATTCATAATTACTCGTAATGACAGCAACAGCAGCGTGTGCGGCAACCATGATAAAGACAACTGAATATGTGACAGCAACCGCAATTTAAATCTATGATATAATCAAAGTTTAATGTTAATGTTAATTAAAGAAATGAATCTCTCACCCCCAAAGAAGCCCGAAAAGCTTGAAATATACTAATCAGACCGAGCAGCGAACCTCTCCACATTCTTATCATTCAAATTAATACCAACCATAGCCTCACCAAGACCACAGCTAACTTCCGCAAGGACCTCAGGGTCACTGTAATGTGTGACGGCCTGAACAATAGCCCGGGCACGTCTAGCCGGGTCACCGCTCTTGAAAACCCCAGACCCCACAAACACTCCATCACAACCCAACTGCATCATCAGCGCTGCGTCAGCCGGCGTCGCTACTCCACCTGCGGCGAAGTGAACCACCGGCAACCTTCCCAGCTGCTTTGTCTGCATTACCAAATCATAGGGAGACTGGATTTTCTTGGCGAAGGTGAACACCTCATCATCATCCATGTTCCTAAGCACCCTAATGTCTCCCATCACGGATCTCACGTGCCTAACGGCTTCGACGATGTTGCCGGTCCCAGCTTCCCCTTTGGTTCGAATCATAGCAGCTCCTTCTCGGATCCTCCGAAGCGCTTCGCCCAAATTCCGACAGCCGCAGACGAAAGGGACCCGAAAGTTATGTTTGTTGATATGGTTCTCTTCGTCGGCGGGGGTAAGAACTTCGCTCTCGTCAACATAATCGATGCCAATGGCTTCCAGGATCTGGGCCTCAACGAAATGACCAATACGGGCCTTGGCCATGACGGGGATGGTAACAGCTTGCTTAATTTCCTTGATGAGTTGTGGGTCACTCATTCGAGCGACGCCACCTTGGGCTCGGATATCAGCGGGGACTCGTTCGAGAGCCATGACGGCACAGGCTCCGGCTTCTTCAGCGATACGTGCTTGTCCGGGGGTGACCACATCCATTATGACCCCTCCCCGGAGCATCTGGGCTAGCCCCACTTTTACTGAGAAAGGGGATTTGGTGTGGGTCTCGGTCATTGCCCCATTACCATAAACAGCAACAACCCCAGTTCCTGCCATATCTAAATTAAAAATAAAAAAAAAATTAAAGCGAGGGATTTGTTTTCCTTTGGGAAATGAAAGAGATTATAAGATATTGAATGGTGGGAGAGAAGAGGTGCAGCAAAGAAGTTGCCGAAGATGTGACGAATATAAAGGTAGGTTTTTTCCCCTTGAATGGTTCCTGGTTGGAGGTGAGAATATTGGTGTGTGGTCCAGTTCACCTGCAACTGGTCATGATTTAGTTTTTGTCCTTTATCGGACGGATGGAAAGAAAAGATGTGAAGGGATTTTTGGTTTTTTTGAGTGGGAGCGTTGTCAAAGAGATTTAGTCGTCGTCCATAAAAGGAAATAAAGAGATTTAGTCGTTGTCCATAAAAGGAAATAAAAATAATGCATACATGGCATAAATTGATAGCATTCTATATGCCGAGGATAACCAAACTTAGTTATGGGTAAATTCCATGTTTAGTATTTTAACTATCACTTTTATTTTGTTTTGGTCATTTAATTATTAATTTTTAAAAATCATACTTAATATTATGTTTTGTTTCATTTTGGTTCGTTAAAAAATTAACATAAATACTAATGTGACAAATTTTAAAATTTTTCATTTTGTTTATTTAATATGATATGTTAACTGGTAATGATTTGTGATGATCGAGGAGTTAAAAGGCATCTTGAATCTGAATTTCAAGATGAAGGATTTGGGGGAATTAACGTTTTTTTCTTGGGTTTTGAAATACTTAGATCAAAAGAAGGAATACTTTTAAATCAAAGGAAGTATGCCTTAGAATTGATAGAGAGTATACTGGTCTTGGGGGTGCAAAACCGAATGATACCCCCATGGAACAACACTGGAAGCTTACCACTGCAGATTATGGTCTGAATTACAGTAGAACAATGATGATACGGTTCTAGAATCAGAGAAGGGGTTGTTTAAACGATTGATTGGAAGACTAATCTATCTAACTCAGACAAGACCAGATATTACATACATAGGTCATTATCTTAGCCAATTTATGCAGCAACCAAAGAAATCTCACACGGAAGCTGCATTTAAGGTGCTAAGATAAATCAAGAAAGAACCAGGTTGTGGAATTCTGTTGAAACAAGCTAAGGATCATCAATTGAAGGCTTACTGTGATATAGAATGGGCCTCTTGTTTGATGACTAGAAAGTATATTACAGGTTTTTCTATTAAGTTTGGTGAATCTTTGATATCTTGGAATCAAAGAAGCAAAACATCACTGCTCGATCATCTGCAGAAGCAGATATAGAAGCATGGCAATGACAATGGCAGAAATAGTTTGGTTAAAAGGGTTATTACTGGAACTTGGAAAAAGTAATCTGAAGACAATTATTCTCTAGTGTGACAATAAAGCTGCTTTGCAAATCGCAGCAAACCCAGTTTAATATGAAGGACTAAACACAGAGAGATTAACTGCCATTTTATGAGAGACAAGATATTAGAAGGAAATATTCAAACAGAGCACGTAGCATCAGGAAATCGACTTGCTGACATTATGACAAAGGCTTTGGGAGTGCAACCGCATAATGTTTTGTTATCTAAGTTGGGAGCTGAAAATATACTTCAACTACCAACTTGAAGAGGAGTGTTATGATTAGTTTAGTTTGTTACAATTAGTTGTAGAAGTTATTAATTTGTTAGCTAGTTAGTAAAATCTGACGCTATATATGTACATCTTATGTAAACATTATTTTTTTATCAATACAAGAAGTATTATTTTACTGTGCTCTCCTTGGATTTAACATATATATACTGTGAGCAAGATTGGGAAATAAAGTGCGATGATCTAAAAGGGGTCTCGAAAATGTGAAAAGGGATTCTCAAAAATATTAAGCACGACGAAGTGGCTAATTGAACGAGGATGTCTCTTTTGTTTTAGGGAAATTTTTGGTGTGATGAATGCACGTTAAAAGTAAGCTTCCAAGTCTTTTCTGTATTGCAAAAACCAAGGGGAACGTAATTACCGATGTATCTATCAATGGTGATCTGTTGAACGTAAACTGGATTGGTATCTTTAACAGGCCGCTTAGGGAAGGGGGATTGAAGAATCTAAAATGTCGTAATCGATTTTCGGCGATACGACGTGTCTCGACTTGTTTGTGAAAAATTTGATTTTTTTTTTAAAATAAATGTTTTAGAGTCATCATCGACCTTTTGGGTTCAGGTAGGTCGAATATCCATAAACCATTTTTCAAAAGAGTTTTAAGAAAATATCATTTTAAAAGATGCACTAATCTATGTGTAACCAAAAATTCATTCTTTTTTAGTAATAACAAAGGGGTTCGAGGGTCGATTACGCGTGGGGAAGGATAAGCACCCCCACAACGCCCAAAATTAGTACCCCATTGATTATAAATTGATTTTAATAGTGGAGATCTAAGAATTCAATATACATTTAAGTTACGATCCTATTATCCAAATGCCCATGCAACCAATTTTTATTTAACAAAAAGTTCTAAGGAGAAATAGAAAATATTCCTATATTCCAATCAAAGAGAAAATATCGCTAAAATACTTTTGGACGAATATTTCTTTTTCTAACTGAAATAAAAAGAATATAATTTCTCCCAAGAATTCGAGATTATATAATTTGATTCGACCAAAATAAGAAATTAAGACAATTTATCCAAATTTAATTAATCATGCTAGATGATGAAAGTTTAAACTAGAATGGAAGAAATATAAACACAATAAAAAGCAAAGACCGAAAAATAAGTATCACACAAATATAAGTGCTCAAATAAAATAAAATCATAAATAACATAAGGACCAAATTGCAAGATAACAAAATAAGGCACTCAATATGATATAAATATGAAACATGCATATATATATATATATTCATGGGACTAAAATAAAATAAACATGAACTAAAGTGCAATAATTAAAGGACTGAAATTAAATGCTGAAAAATAGGGGACAAAATAAAAGATAAAAAATTAAAGCAAATAAAGTGTAAGGACTAAAATTAAATAAAGAAAAAAATAAAGGCATAAATTTAAAGGTGCATAAAATTAAATAAAAAAATGAGAACTAAAAATAAAATGTTAGTGTTAATTTTAATTTTTAACCCATACCGTAAATAATGCGAGTCATACCCGGGGTAAGTCATCGCAAGATCGCACTATGGTTCGAACATAAAATAAATAAATAAATAAATAACAAGTTAGTGGTTAGTTGTTAACAAAGTCCGAATCATAATAATATAGATCATATCCTGGATCGAGTCACCACAAGGTCGGTTCGAATAATAACAATAAATTTTTAGCAGTTGTGGTTAGCAGTTAGATGTTAACAAAGTCTGGACCATAATAATATGGATCATACCCCGGATCGGGTCACCATAAGGTCGGTTCGAATAATATCAATAAACAGAAAATAGTGAAATTGATGCATCATGTTCGAAACAAATAAAATAAAAAGCAGTGAACAAAATATAACATATAATAATAATAAAGTGACCAAATAAAATAAAAGCAAACAGAATGACAAAGTAGAAAAATGAATAAAAAAGAACAAGGCATTAGTGACCAAAATAGAAAAATGCACCAAAACTAAAGGGACCAAAAGGGAATTAACCCTTAAAGTAGGGCCCAAAATATAAAACACGTAAAACTTTGGGGGGACCATAACGTGATTAACCCAAAAAGTCTAAATATATCCTAATATTAATCTAAACACCTAAACATAAACCTAACTTTCATCTTCCTCAACTTTTCTTCCTCACGAGCGGCAACCAACCCCAAATACCCAAGGGCCACTCTTCGCCAGCCACCAAGCAACGATGGCCTCATCGCTCATACCGATCTTCCACCCGGCCGAGGGGGACCATACGACCTCATAAGAAACCTCGAAAGCTTATTCTTCTCACCAAATTTTTAACCCGAAACCCATGACCCACTACGACGACACCACAATTCGCTCTCAACGCCAATGGCTATGGACGTAAGTCGACCTCAAAACCTTACTGACCACCAACATCGGTGGTCGGGCTGATATGACGACACACCCAAGACACTTCTTCATCTTCTAAAACCCGAACCCAAGGGTCCTGAGAGCCAAATCGACCCCCTAAACCATCGCCAAAAATGACCGATCAACTCCCCGAACTCGACGGTGACCCTAGTGCTCGACAAATCCTGACGGTTTGACTCCGACAAGGCCCTATTCGATTAAGACAACGATAGCTAACCCTCTCTATTCTCTCTATTTCTACCACTTTTTTGCTTGGATTTAGAAATAAAAATATGGTTACCCGAAAGATAAGTGAAAAAGAAAACCTTCATTATATTGTTGCTATATTGGTATTGAAAAGAAAAATGGGAACCGATATTTTACAATGCTCTCTTTGCTTTCTGGAGAGAAACAAAAAATTGGGGAAAACTTTTTTTACACTGTGATTGGGGTTTTTATACCTCTTAAAAGTGAAAAAATGACATATTCTATATCTATTTTGTTTTGTGGATGTTGACGAGGCTGGCTTGGTGCTGGTGCAGTCAGGCGGTAGGTGACAGGACATGGAGCTAAGTAGATGGTAGCTACTAGGATTTGGTGGCAGTAGGGTATAACTATAATTACCAATTTTTTGGGGTAAAATTGGTGATTACATCTACCCCTATTCGCTCATTATTATGAAATGAGAATGAACCGAAGGCATAAATCACCAATTTTATCCAGCTTGGCCACCCGAAATCTTTATGCTCTAAGTTCTTTTGATTATGTACTATTCACTCATTTTTAAAGGCAACTGTTGAGGTTGAACAATATTTTCTTTATAAACTTCTTCTCACTCTTCAGACGAGTTCTTCTCATTATAAAATTTCCATTGGAAATGTTAATCCACCTCTTTATATGATGGATTCGAGCAAAAGGTCGAACAAGTTCTTCTCATTATGAACTTCTTCTCCTTCTTTGGATGAGTTCTTCTCATTACGAACTCTTCTATTAGAAATCATGATCCACCTTCTTCCGAGATGGATTTGATCAATATATTGATCCTGATCTA